TCCCTAAGTAAATTCTGTATCAGGAAAAACGCAGCCTGGGCACAGAGGAGAATCTTGAGTGTCAGCTCTGCGCCGCTTCAGTCTGGAGCAGAGGCCCTGGAGCTAGTCAAAGCCAGGGCAATGTAGCCCAGTGTCCGGTGTTAACTGTTCAGGAATGCTGATGGAATGCAGAGAGGGTCCCTCCCACGTGGACGTGCTGCTTGGTACCTGACTCTGGCTACACCCCAAGCACAACTAGGAAACTTGTTTCTTGTCCCAAAGAGATTATTTCCCCCCATGAATCCTTCCATGAAAAATAAAAAGCACACATGGGTAAGGACTATAGGTCCTTACGGCAGACTGGGCCCTAGGCAGGGGACAGAGGGAAGGAAGAAGGGGCTGCCTCACCTCAATCTGGAAGACCTTGGCTGTGGGACTAGTCACCTTCAAACCTCCGGGCTAGGCTCCAGGTGTTACAGTGCCACTGGTCCACGGTTATCCTGCCCTTCCTAAATATGCCCCTGGTTATTAATCATAATTTCTTATGTTTGTAAACAGACTTAGTATTTGCCAACCACTTCTGCATCTTTTATGTCAGTGATCACAACAACCCCATCAAACACATTGTGTTTTACCCATCTTATAAATGAGGAAGTAGACACTGAGTGGCATTGCCTAGGGATACACAGTAAGGATGGGCAAGACTGGGGGTTGGAACTTCAGCATTCTGACACCAAGTCCAGTGTGCTCACAGCTAGACCACAGCCACTAGGCTACACCGTGAGCCACCAGAAGAGCCTCCACTTGGTTCCCTAATTGCCATCTCTCTTGACATTTGCAGCTATCTGATGGATACAACAATGTTTTAAATCTTCGAGACACCAACCTAGTCTAAAATACAAATGACCAAGGAGAGGCTATGAAATGTTGACTGTCATATTAACCTGCACATTTGCACCTTTTCCTTCCAAGAATTTTGGTCCCAAGGGGTGGGTGAGAGAACTGCAGGTTTGGGATACATCTCAACAAAATCTCTGGAAAAACATGTGGGTCCAGCGCTGGGTTTGGGGAAAATGCACAAATATTAGTGCAACGTCGAGGAGCTAAGGAGACAAGAACCTAGAAAAGTGAGTGACGACTGATTCTGACCTTTGCAAAGACAGGCTCATCTGAGCAGGAAGATGCACCTGTTCTCTCTGCTTAAGGGTTGCCAAGGAAGCGAGCCAGGCATTGCTTTTTATACTGAAAGTATTAGCTACATGACAGGACTTTATAAACTGCACAGTGTTATGTAGATGATCCGAAACCAAGCAGACCTGGGTTTGAATCTGAGCTTTTGCATTTTCTAGCAATGTGGTATTGGGCAAAGTAAGTAATCTCTCAAGCCTCCCTTTCTTCATCTGCAAAATGACAAGAAAACAGATTCTCCCCCTGGATCCTCCAGGAAGGCAGCTCTACTGACACCTTGATCGTAACCCAGTGAGGCTTATTTCACACTTTTTTTTTAAAGTTTATTTATTTTATTTTTGAGAGAGAGAGGGAGAATATCCCAAGTAGGCTCCTGCTCAGCACAGAGCTCCACTGGGGGGTGGGTGGGAGAGCCTTAAACCCATAAACTGGGAGATCATGACCTGAGTCAAAACCAAGAGTTGATGGCTCAACCCACTGAGCCACCCAAGTGCCCCTCATTTTCATACTTCTGACCTCCACATCAGATGTTACATTTGTGTTGTTTTAAGCCAGGAAGTTTGTGGTAACTTGTTACAGCAGCCATAAGGAACTAGTACAGACTTTAGTAAAAAAAAAAAAAAAAAAAAAAAAAATACCCATCTCATGGTGTACCTGGGTGTCTCAGTCAGTTAAGCATCAGAATCTTGGTATTGGCTCAGGTCATAATCTCACAATCGTGAGATCAAGCTCTGCATCAGGCTCTGAGCCAAGCATGGAACCTGCTTGGGATTCTCTCTCTCCCTCTCTCTGTACTCCTCCCACACTCCTGCTCTATCTCTCTCAAAAATAAGTAAACAAACTTAAAAAAAAAATACCCATCTCTTGGATCTGTTGAGAGGAAATGCCCATAAAGTACCTAACATGTGCTGAGAACATTGTAAGTGCTCATTAAATGGCTGCTTTCATCATCATTTTGTTATTTTGGAAGACGAGAGTGACTTTCTAAGTTATTATGTGTCACTGATCCCAGAGGCCTGAAGAAGAGAATTCACAGGGGAAAAGGAGAAAAATCTAGTGGTCAGCAACTTCAGAATGTTTTACCATCACTATATCCCTGCCTTCCATAAATACAGTCAGGCTGCCTCTCTGGCATTTCCTTCCATATGCCTGTCTAGGTTTCTTCTGTTAATTCTTCTTTTTGCTCATACTAACCCCTCATCTGCCCACTCTTTGTCTTCTCCCACTCTTGTCTGCACTTTTCCACCCTGACTCTGATGGACAATTCTCCTCTATTCATTTGTCCCTTCCTCCTTTATAAAACTCAGTGTGGCAGGTTCCTCTTTGGAAAAGTTCGTTATGGGGCTTCATGAGTCACCGGGCCAAATCCCTTGTTCAGAGTATCTTCAGTTCCTTTCTGCACCAATAAAGTCCCTCTTCGGTAGCCTCATACTCTCTTCCTTTTATCCATAGTCCTATTTCCCCCTTTATTTGACTGCATACAGTCATTTTTGCTTTGAACCCATGTTGCTGTCATCACACTTTACATTCCTTGAAAGAACGAATTGCTGCTAACCAACTAGTCAACACAAACAGGCTGCTGCTACCCAGCAAATCGGTGCATAATCTGTACTGGTTGAAATGGTGCTGCACTTGGCCTCCAGACTTTTGCCCTTTACTCTCTATACTTGTGTTGTTTGAACTTCTGCCTTCCACTATTTATTCATGTCTCTAGATGGTAACTTAACTTGTCAGGAGCAATGTCTGTGCATACCAGTAATGAACTTTACAATGTGACTGGTCTGGTTACATGAGTAAAGATCTCCCTTGGCAGACTGTGTATTAACTCCTTCAGGGCACTCGGGCTCCACTCAGTCTAATGTTTAACAATTACTGGAACAATTGCGGGAAAGAATGAATGCCATTTCTAAGCAGAAACTACACATAAAGATCTTGTAACAATGGCCCGGTTCTATTCATTCAGCAAACATTGATAGAGTACCCACTATGCACCCAGCTCTGGGCCAGAAACACTCATGAATTTTAATTCCTTTCAATTCCCACAGCTACCCAGGTGAACCAGGAAGGGAAAAATGGAGAAGCTGAGATTCTTTGGAAGGCTGCTAACACTTACATTAGAGAGTAGTAACAAAGGAAGTCAAATCTTAGCAAAGTCTGAGAAGGCTTGCCTCCCACTGATCCCCTGTACAAACTGGGACTTCAGCCAAACTGACTCACTTGCCACCTCACCGCCACCTTGCTCTTCTAGGTCTCTGGTCCCTGACATTTCCTTTCCCTGGAATTTCAGCCGCACACCCCCACTTCCTCCCACACCACACCCTATATCTCTAGTCTACTTACCAAAACCACACATACTCTGCAAGGCTTACGTCTTCCCTACTCGGAACTCCCATAGCACTTAGGGTCTTCCTACATGTAATAAAATTATTTAGGAACCTGTCTTAGCTTCCCGACGAGAGCACAAAATCCTGGAAAACAGCAATCTTCCTATCTTTTATACCTCAAAACTCAAGTCATATCATTTAATACATTTTGGTTTAAAGCATGAATACAGGAAGTGATTAATTTAATTAACAACACAGTAAGAGATCTGGACGGCTTTTCTGGAGGTATTTTAAGTACAAAAGCTAAAGTAATTGACCCAAACACTTACCCTCATGTTCCTTCCAGAGAATCCTGAGGGAGGGAGAGGCCCACTTCTTTTTAGTGCCATTCAAAGCACTAAATCTTGTAAATAATTTCTAGGAGCCAGTGTGGGTTGAGGGGATGCACTTGGGCTCCAGAGTCACACAGACCATGGTCTCCAGCCTACCTCTTCCATTGCATGACCCCAGGGAACTTAATTACCTAAATTAAAGCTTTAGTTTCCTCATCTGCAAAATGAGCCTCCTCACCTTTTTTCTTTTCTACCTAATTGGGCTATGAGACTTAGATGTGTGCATGTGAAGTACCTAGTAGAGAGACACATGGCAGGAACTATATGTCAGCCCCTCTTCTCCCACTGCCCCGCCTCGTGCAACAGGGAACTTTTCATTATTTTTTAAAGATTTTTAAAAAATGTTTGTTTCTTTATTTTGAGAGAGAGAGAGAGACCACATGAGCAGGGGAGGAGGAGAGGGAGAGAGAGAATCCCAAGCAGGTTCCTCCCACTATCAGTGCAGAGCCCAGTGCAGGGTTCAAAATCACAAACAGTGAGATCATGACCTGAGCCTAGATCGAGTCAGCCGCTTAACCAACTGAGCCCCCTAGGTGCCCCCAGGGAACTTTTTAAATTGCCAACTATTTTTGAAGGTAACAAAATATTCTGATAATAAGTATTTTTAACAGCTGCCTGTAGCCCATATGGGCACCAGCTGCCAACTTTGGCCCTGGGTTTTCCTTTGGGGTTTCAGTTTGCCATGACCAAGGATAGGAAGAGCCATGCTGGGGCACCTGGGGGTGCTTCAGCCCTGCCCAGTCCTCAGCACCCCATGTCTGCCTTTGTTAACATGAAGGACCTCAGTGCATCACTCAGAAGTGCACAGTCTGTATATTCTCCACCTTAAAGAACAACTGAAAGTTACTGATCAGACTCTGGCAAGCTTTACTTTTTTTTTCTTCTTTATAAAATTACAGTAAAAAAAAAAAAAAATGCAATGATTCCTGAGCTTAGTAATCCAATTCCCTCCCTTGCTAAATGATTGCCTGACTTCAGTTTGGATGCTTTGGAACACGAGAAGGTGATGCAGGTGATAGTGTGATGGAGTCATGTTATGAAACTGGAGCAACATTTGTCACCTGGTCCTACTCAGCTGGAATGTTCTCGTGTCCTCAGCTTGGGGGAAATCCTGAAGATGGCCAAAGATGACTCCACTGCTCGTTGCTTCCAGGGCCTGCTGATTTTTGGAAATGTGATTGTTGGTGTAAGTAATGAGTATTTTTCAGGAAATTCTGTTCTTTCTGTAATCACAATTTTTGGATTAATCGAAAGTGGGAGTTTAAAGGAAAACCATGATATCCTTACTGGCTTCCTATCTTTTTTCTTCCTAATTTTAGGAAATGTGTTAGCAAAATAGGCTAGCTAGAATTTAATTATATAAATAATCGTATGTAACTATGTGATAGGTCAAAAAAAATGGATATTTCCCTCCCAACTTAAATTTTTTTTTTTTTATGTTTAAATGTATATCCAAGTTAGTTAATATGTAGTGCAACAATGATTTCAGGATAGATTCCTTAATGCCCCCTACCCATTTAGCCCATGCCCCCTCCCAAACCCCTCCCTCCCAACTTTAAAACACAAGAATCCGAAAGAAGCCATGTCAACCGTGGTCGTGTGCAAACATTGCCACCACACACACACTTCGGTGTTTCTTTCCTATTTCGCCTTGATTTGATTTGCATGGAACAGTGCTGTTAAGGCTGTTGGGGACAGATGTTTGCATTTACTTGTCCTTATCATACAGAGGCCAGTACCAGGATGGGAGAGTGGCTCAGAGGTCAGGCTGTGTGGGCTCAGTGTGCTGACAGAGCGCTTGAGAGTCATGATCTCTGGGTCTTGGCCCAGCCCTGCCTCTGACTCCATGACTCTGGACAAGTTATCAGCTTTCAAGGACAAGGTCCCTCATCAATAAAATGCAGAGGGTGGGAAAGATAACCACCAAGGTCACTTCCAGTGCTAATGCTCAGTGCCAGACAAAGACTAGTCTAAATATTATAATCCAGGAATTGGGACGAAGGACCGTAGGAGTTGGGGTGGGAGGCTCTGTTCATACAAGATGTTGTTTGAGTGGTTCGTGCCCCACAGACTTTAGATGGTCTGAAATTGCCTGGGTCTTTCCCCCAAATAGCAGTAAGACAGAGTGACAGGTGGGAGGAGGCATACACCCTAGTAATAGGACGGAAGGAGCAGTTTGATTTTCTGGAGATGAGTCTCAGTTCATTGCTTTGAGCCTTTGCAGAGATGGAGTTAGACTCTCTTACTAACCCCTCCCCACACTTTTGCATCCCTTTTCCAACGCTGTTGTGCTACCAGCCTGACAGAATGCCCTCTGCCCCCAGATGTGCGGCATCGCCCTGACTGCAGAGTGCATCTTCTTTGTATCCGACCAGCATAGCCTCTACCCGCTGCTCGAAGCCACTGACAATGATGACATCTATGGGGCAGCCTGGATTGGCATGTTTGTTGGCATCTGCCTCTTCTGCCTGTCCGTTCTAGGCATTGTAGGCATCATGAAGTCCAACAGGAAAATTCTGCTGGCGGTGAGAGCTTAAAACTCTACGGTTGCCTCCTGGGCCTATTTCGATGGATTCTTTTCTTCTTCCCTGAGCATAGTGATTTGGCTCTTAGTGGGCTAAGTGGGAGCAGAGAGAGACAGGTAAGGGGAGAGAAGGAGGAAACACTCTCCCTGCAGCGAAGCTTGACCATTTTGGGGGCAGAGATGCCCTCCACTATTGCAAGTCCAGAAGATTCCAGTACAGAGAACCCAAAGGAGAGAAACCTGATGGTGACCCTGTTGAGTATTTTCCAGATCTGTGCTTCTCCAACAAGCTGCAGCCAGTGGGTTCAGCCAGGAGCTACATAGGCCAAAGCAGAGACAGAGTGAGAGTTTGATAACTAGAGTTTTTCTCTTGACAACAAATAGTTTAAAGTATTATTTTAATATTAATCAGTGATATTTTAGGATATAAAATACAAAATATGCATGAATTTTTAAGAGAATGCATGAGCTTTTTCAGACATTTTTGAGCCCAAGGCTGATGATTTTGTATAATGACCTGCATTTCCTACATTATACATTCACTCTGCTTTTCAGGGCCCCTGGGAAACCTTGATGCACAGCACTAGAGAGTTCAGCTTCAGCTCCATCTGCCTGTGGAGGCTCTAACACTGTGCACCCACAGAGAAGCTTCTGCCCCAAGCCACAGACAGTCATGCCCTCCCTTTGTAGACGGAAGCAGATTTGCAACCAGCTGAGCTAAGAACCCTTGGTATTGGGTCTAGACCTCTATTCTCTGCCCCCCACGCTCAGGTCAATGGTTTCTCACACTGTGGTGGGGTCCCACCCCCACTCCCCACCCTGAAATAACTCTCCTACCCAAATGCTGAAGGACCTGAGTTACATCTTTATGGAACAAGCCCAGCAACTTAAAGTGCTTGTCGGTTTACTTTTCCTGTGATCTAAACATTGTCCTGGCACCCAGGGAATGCAGAACTTTTACATTCTCTGATTCCTTTAGTGTGAGTTAAGTTCCAGGGCAAAAGCACCCACTTTTTTTGGGTGGGGACAACAATGCAGGCAAAGGGAGAGGAGGGGCAGGTGTCCTCAGAGACCAGCTTCACCTGCATCCTGGTCTCACTTTGGGCCCTCCATGTATTCCTGACACAGCCAGAAGTAAACATTGTTCACCGTGCCCTGCAGAGAAAAGGAGCAGTGCCCCTTCCAAGGGGCTGACAGAGAAAACACCTGAACCCTGGGCCTCCTGTCTGGAGTGTCTTTAAGGGGTTTCTGAGCCTCTCCAAGAGTCATCAAGCTCTTTTTTTTCTTTCAGAGATTTTACTCTTAAGTAATTTCTACACCCAACGTGGGGCTCAAACTCACAACCCCGAGATCAAGAGTCACATGCTCTATGGACTGAGCCAGCCAGGCACCCATAACACAAAGCTCTGACAAAGAACAAGGCAGCAAATGTTCTGAGGCCTCTGAAGGTGCTTCTGCTCCAGCCAGAGCCTTTATCCAAGCTGAGTAATTAGGGCAGCAGAGGGTCCTGCTCAGAGAGCTGCCCAGCTGCCCCTGCCCAGGGAGAGAGGACCGTTTTCCTTGCCCTCCCCCACGGACACTGCAGCAGGGGACCAACAGTGAATGTGCAAGGCTGAGGAAAGCTAAGACAGACCCTCACAAATAGTTCCCATCCCTGATTCAGAGGCAACTTGCTGTTCAGATATTTTCCAGTCACAAACAGGGGCTGCGTGGTGGGGAGGCATCACGTGAACACGTGCATGCACGCATGTGAGTGTGGACACACACACATGAGAGCAACACCACACAGCAAGGTCTGTTCCACTCGCCTGGCCCATAACTGGAAGGGTGGGGCTTGAGAGAAGAATGCCGGTGAAGAGCTGTGTACCTGGAGGCTGCCTGCTCCTCTCAGGACCCTTGTCAGGAGGGACAATGGATATTAAACACGATCCGATCATCTTTTTCTGACCTTTGTAATTCTAAATTTCCAGTAAACCATAAAGAAAATTTATCTTAATGAGGGGATTTTTGAAGCTGTACATAGTGTCCGATCCACCAAAACTCTTTTGCCAGCCATTGAACACACACACGCACGCACGCACACCCCAGTTCATTCTCTTGTATTTGTTTTTCTCAGTTAAAGTAGAAATATAGGATATACTGGACTGAGAAAGCTCTGTATTCAATAGCCATTTGTTGTCTGGGGATAAGGAGAGAATTGAGCTGATTAGCACCTAACACCTAGCACCCAGACTTGCTCCAAGCAGCTGATCAATGAAGGTTTGTTGAATGATTTCATTATTGATTAGATGGTTACACTTTGATGAATATGCTGAAAGAATATAACAATTTTTTTTAATTCTCTTTGGAGATACATGTAATTCTTTTTTTTAATTTGTTTCCCTTCCAGTATTTCATTCTGATGTTTATCGTATATGGCTTTGAAGTGGCATCTTGTATCACAGCAGCAACACAACGAGACTTTGTGAGTACAATCACAAAAAGCACAGAGCAAAAATGATCACATGAATCACTGTTATCATCATAACAATATAAGAGCTGACATGTATTAAGCCCTTACACTGTACCAGGCACTCCAATATGTGCATTAATATTAAATACATAACTACTTGGGGCACCTGGGTGGCAAAGCATCCGACTTTGCCTCAAGGTCATGATCTCACGGTGTGTGAGTTCGAGCCCCGCGTCGGGCTCTGTGCTGACAGCTCGGAGCCTGGAGCCTGCTTTGGATTCTGTGTCTCCCTCTCTCTCTGCCCCTCCCCGGCTCTCACTCTGTCTCTGTCTCAAAAATAAACATTAAAAAAATTTAAATATATAACTACTTAATCCTCATAAGAACTCTATGAAGTAGGTATTATCACTGTGGTCATTTTATAGATTTAAAAAAAAAAATGGGACTTAAAAAGGTGAAGTAACTTGTCCAAGGTTACACAACTGGTAAGGGAAGGAGAAGAATGCTGAGTCCAGGCAGAGCGACTCCAGGACCCAAGCTTGTACTGTTGTGCTCTTCCCCACAATGCAGTAGCCTCTAGCCCTCCAACAGGATGGGCAATAATCCACAGCATCTAAGACTTCCTCTCAATTCAGCATCCCTCATTCTCTCCTTTTCTCCATTTCCCAGTTCAAGCCACCCTACGATGCCTGCCCCCTGCCCTAGTCTCACTGGGATTTCTTTGAGGATGGTAGGCTTTAAATTCCCCCTCATAAGGACTTCAGACATGCAGAGCAACCTCCCACATGCACCACCCTTCTTGGTGCCTCTGAGCACAGTTTTACTCCAGCAGTTTTACTCCAGAAGATAACGTTCAGTGCCCCCAGCAACAGGCAGAGCAAATCATTTTGCTTCCTTGGGGATGAGTGTGCTAACTCTTCTTCTTGTGTTGCCTCCTCCTACCATAGTTCACGCCCAACCTCTTCCTGAAGCAGATGCTGGAGAGGTACCAAAATAATAGCCCTCCAAACAATGACGACCAATGGAAAAACAATGGAGTCACCAAGACCTGGGACAGACTCATGCTCCAGGTAATGCCTGCAGTCTTGGGGAGACTCCAGTATCCAGGTGTGAAGATGTGGTTGGAAGTGAAGTCAAAGTGTGGGGACCACAGTCTCTAGGCCGTTTCCTTCAAAAAGAGACTGGACATAGACAAATTCATGTATTCCTCTCATCTATGCCTCTTGTGTGCACATCACTGAGTGGGACCCCAAGATCTCTATTTTATTCTCAATCCATGATGTTGATTAACTTCTATTTAGGGATAATGACATTGTTAAGAAATCTAGAGGCACATGCTGCCTCTTAGAACTCAGGCATCACTTACATTAAAAGAAAAAGTTTGCTTCCTCCACACCACAGTGAACTCAAGTGGCAATCATTCCCTATTTTGCTTATTTAGTACCTATGGGCTAGTCCTCCTAAGGACCATGGGGTATGAATTGATTTGAATGCCCACTTTTCTCTAACTGGCCATCATACCTTATATGCAAGTTTATCTTAAATATCATCAAAAATCCAAGTCTTTCAGAATATCCATAATCACCCCTACTGCCTTTGTAAACTTTTATCCCTACATAAACCTGAATCTGACCCATCTCTCACACTGCCCCCTCTCTCCCCTCCCCTCTACCTGCTTACAGTACATCATCAGCAAACTCCCATATAGCCTCTGTGCCTTCTTTAATGTCTCTTTACCCTCTATCTTCTATCATTTCCTTCATTTATCTGAATATTCCTATTCCAATAATTCTTTTTACCCCATTAGAACCTCCAATTCATTGGACACTTTTTTTACTTTCTATCACTCTTCTGACCATAGGTCACGTACTTTTTCCACTCTTTTAACAAGAACTAAGCCCTCTGAATGGAAATGGGAATGCCCACATATTTTGAAAAACCTTCTTACCAACTTTTAAAAACACAGTCTAAAATAATCCTGGCTCAAACTTAACCATTCTTCCCCCAAAAGTCTCAGGTCAAAATGCAGGATACTTATTTCCCTTGGTGAGAGATTTTCCATAATCCAGTAGCAAAATAGGACATGCTTTAAAGACAGCTGATTTATCATCAAGTTTGTTGCGAAGTATTTATTCTAAACGTTGAGAGGGGCCTGTAGTTTTAAGTTCCTCCCCTTGAAACATTTGAACAGAATTTGGAAAAAGGAAGGGAAATGATGTGAAGTATGTTTCATCCCTGAACCTCAACTCTATCCAGGTTGTGAGGACATTAGCTATGTGTTCACTGATCTTCGTTTCCTATGTAGAGACATAGCTGTGTGCCACCAGGTTTTGGTTATTTTTTTCTCCCATTATTAAAGTCATACATAATTACTTTAGAAAATGTTAAAAATATAGAAATGTAAATAAGAATTATTCCTAATTTCTTCACCACTAGAAGTTTTAATTTTCTGATTTTTGACTTGCTCATATGTCATGAGAATAATTATAGCTCTCTCACACTGCTGTATCAAGATATTCATATTAATAATAATTAACATTTAGCAAGGGTTTACTATGGACCAGGCATTGTACGAAACAGATTAGGTGCATTAACTAATCGTCACTGAAACTCTGAGGACCATGGGCTGTGTTAAGGAAACTAGGCCATGTTTTACAGTTAAGGAAAATGAGGCATAGGGAGTTGAACTCATCAAAGGCCATGGAGCTCATCAATAGCTAGTAAAGTAACAAATGTTGAAGTATTTTCCAACCTCTAAAACGTAAGTTATTAATACCCTCAGCTCTTGTTTGGGGAATTTTATTTTATTTTCATTTTGTTTTTTTCTTAATTTTTTTTTAACATTTATTTATTTTTTTGAGACAGAGAGACAGAGCATGAACAGGGGAGGGTCAGAGAGAGAGGGAGAGACACAGAATCCGAAACAGGCTCCAGGCTCTGAGCTATTGGCACAGAGCCCAACGCGGGGTTCGAACTCACAGACCATGAGATCATGACCTGAGCTGAAGTCAGATGCTCAACCGACTGAGCCACCCAGGCACCCCTGTTTGGGGAATTTTAGTAAACGCAAGATATGGTATACTTTCCGTATCTTCCTTGTCCATAAAATCTCAGTTGCTACATTGATGGCTCTAGCAAGGACCATGAAAGAGAATTTTGTATCTCTCTTCCACTGACAGGACAATTGCTGTGGTGTAAATGGTCCATCAGACTGGCAGAAATATACGTCTGCCTTCCGGACCGAGAATAATGATGCCGACTATCCCTGGCCTCGTCAGTGCTGTGTGATGGACAGTCTTAAAAAACCTCTCAACCTGGAGGCCTGCAAGCTAGGAGTGCCTGGTTACTACCACAAGCAGGTGAGTCCTCGCCACCCCAGACCGGCCAGGTTTCCTGCTCTTCATGAGGGAAATACTGCTTAACTGTAGGTAATAGTCTCTCAAAGAATTCTGCATCCTTTTTCCTAAACCTTTTGTCAATTATTTCCTTCTCTGGTAGTAAAATATGGATGCTAAGATTAGCAGGGTGATCTGGGAAAATCTACATATTAAAAGAATTGACAGAACATGAGAATTGCAATAACAAAGTCCAACTTTTTTAAATGCAAACTATTTGCACAATGTATAGAATTGGTGTTTCAATTTTTTTTAACGTTTATTTTTGAGAGAGAGAGAAAGAGAGAGTGAGAGAGCATGAGCAGAGGAGGGACAAGAGAGAGGGAGACACAGAATCTGAATCAGGCTCCCAGCTCTGAGCTGTTAGCACAGAGCCCAAGGCAGGGCTCAAACCCATGAACCAAGAGATCATGACCTGAGCCGAAGTCAAATGCTTAATCAACTGAGCCACCTAGGGACCCCTAGTACTGGTATTTCAAAAACTATTTACATTAAGCAAAGATTTGCTCTATTTTTGCAAAATGTAAATTGGAAGGGGTGTATAAAGAGAGAATGCTTTGCTAATTTGCAAAGCAATGGCAATTGCTGATGGTAAATGCAGTAATTATATAACTACATTCCTTATTCAGTGATAATATAGGATAATACTTTTCTTCATGTTTATTTTTTTATTTTGAGAGAGAGAGAGAAAGCTAGCATGTGAGTGGGGGAGGGGAAGAGAGAGAGAGAGAGAGAGAGAGAGAGAGAGAGAGAATCCCAAGCAGGCTCCACCCTGTCAGCTTGAAGCCCAACATGGGGCTCAATCTCATGAACCATGAGATCATGACCTAAGCCAAAATCAAGAGTCAGTGGCTTAACCAACTAAGCCACCTAGGTTCCCCTAGGATAGTCTTAATAAAATATTAGATTGGTGATTTGGTTACAGATGGTTTTTGAGTGTTTCCAGACTGATGAGAATGATATAATGATCCTGAAAACTAACATTTATTGAGTACTTACTAAAGCCAGACACTGTTCCAAGTACCATATGTATATTAACTCCTTTAAAGGTCAAAGGTAGGGGGCACCTGGGTAGCTCAGTTCATTGAGCGTCTGACTTTGGCTCAGGTCGTGATGTTACAGTCCATGGGTTCAAGTCCCACATCAGGCTCTGTGCTGACAGCTCAGAGCCTGCAGCCTGCTTCGGATTCTGTGTTTCCCCCTCTCTCTCTCTGCCCCTTCCCTGCTCACTCTCGCACATGCACACTCTCTCTCTGTCTCTCAAAAAGAAATAAAAACGTTAAAAAAAAAGTAGGCACCATTATGATTCTTACTTTAGGGATGAGGAACTAAGATGTAGAGATATAAGAAGTACCTAGCCCAAGGTCACTCAGCTAGTAAATGGTTGAATCAGGCTTAATACCCCAGCAGTCTGGTTCCAGAGCCTAGCCTGTAAGCCAAGAAAGAATTTGGAAATATTCCCAAATAGCCCAACGCGAATCCTTGTATCATTGTAGCCAGCCTCTGAAAGGTTTATACTGCTTTGTGAGTTACCATTTTGAGGAAAGTTGGTTGTGTGCCAGTTTGTTAAATAATCTGAGAAATGTCAGACTCCTTAGTCTGGCAGTAAATAATGCAACGTGCACGTTCAGAATGAAGGACACTGTACAGCTGATCATCATCCCACATCTGGAAGGGTGCCTGGACTGGGATTGGATGCATTAATCTGGAAAAGGACGTGGGGGTGATGTAGATTATTTTGCAGAATCCTTCAAAGCAACCCTTATTTAGCTTTTCAGCAGCATTGTTTTAGTGTCATTTTAATCAGGTACATTCAGACTGCTCTAAAGATTCTATTTATTCCTTATAATCACAATATGCAATATAATTATCACTCTCAGGAGTAATAAAATGCTTTCCATATTTCAACCTTGGCAGTGACCCTCACAAACATATCTTGATTGGACTGTAATTACATAGAAATTATATCATCTCTGTGAGAGAGACAGAAAGGGGTATTTGCCCTCAGATAATCAGTTTATCTCCCTAGGACATGTGATGTTCTAGTAGGGAGGGACCTTCACTCGAGTTTTGACAACCCTTCTCACATTCTCCCTTTCGGTTCCTTGGCCTCACCTGTCCTTAACATTTCCGTCTCCTTACCGACCCACCAGCTACACCACAGCTACAAACTCATCATCACGCAACCCTACTCTCCTGCCAAGTTCCTGGACCTGAAATTCTTCTCTCTGTCCCCGTCTCTAACTTCCTTCTGTCTCTAACTCCCTGTGCTCCTACTTTCTCAATCTCACTCATTCTTCACTCTCGACATAGTTCTTATCTTCTAATCCTTTCCACTTCTCCCCCTCCTGGTCCTCCAGATTCCCACACACCACAATCCTTTCCACGTTATAAGTCCTGCTAATTCTCCTATAGCAATCCCTTTCCACAAAGCAAAATATGCCACCCAGTACTTCGTACACTGTACTTCTGTCATTGCAGCTGACATATCGTAAGTATTTTTTCACAAGGCTCCTTTTTTCTGAGTCCCCTTGAGGACCATGCATTACTCCATTCTGTGTCTCCAGTACCCCACAGGCTGCCTGGCACAATGCAGGCATTGGGGAATGTTTGGTGGGTGGGTGGTTGAAGAGATAAATGACTCTTTTTCATATCCATATTGTGGCTTTTCAAAATCTGCATAAATGAAGGCTAACAAAATTAGGGATGTCATCATAAGTGTGGTGATAATAGAAATCAACCAGGGCGCCTGGGGGGCTCAGTCGGTTCAGTGTCTGACTCTTGATCTCAGCTCAGGTCATGATCTCGCAGTTCGTGAGTTTGAACCCCATGTTGCACTCTGCGATGACAGCACAGAGTCTGCTTGGGATTCTCTTTCTGCCCTTCTTCTCTCTCCCTCTCTCTCTCTTTCTTCCCTCTCTCTCTCTCTCTCTCAAAATAAACTTAAAAAAATAAATAAACCAGAATTTCATATAGCATGTAAGATGCTGGTATATGTATTCTTACTCACGCTCCAACTGCCCTAGAAATGCTACGTGCTATCTAATCACTATACCTCAAGAACATTATCACAGAACTAAGGAAGACCAAAGTAAGCACCACTACAATGATAAAAAGGCATCATGAAAAGGCACTAAATAAGAAGAGGTGAAAAACCTGGGGCTTTTATCTGTGAGTTCCATGAGAACAATACCCTTGTCTGTCTTGTCACTGCTGAATGTCCAGCCCAGTGCCTGGCACCTGACATAAGTGGGCTTTTGTACATGTGAGGACGAATGACCCCCCTCCCAGGATTGTCAGGAGGATCAGTGAGTAATGGGTACAGGAGTGTTTGTGAACTATTGTGTCACGAATGATACTGTCATAATCATCTCTTTGTATCATGTTCCATTCATTCTATCAATGTTTATTGGGTGCCTATTTTGTGCCAGGCACTTGTGCTGGGTTCTAGAGATTCAACAATGAGCACAATAAGATCCCTGCCCTCCAGAGCTTGCACTGTGGTATGGGAGGCACCAAACAAGTTACCAAGTAAATACATGATACATTCCAGGTAGTGATAAATGCCATAGACAGAAATAAAGCAGGGTAGGTATATAAGGAACGATAGGGTTTTTTTTTCTCTATGGTGGTCAGGAAAGGCTTTGTTGAGATAGTATCTGCATAGAGTTCTGAATTAAGTGAGGAAATGAGACCCTGACTTAAAGAAGATTGGGGAAGAGAGTTCTAAGGAAAAGAAGCAGCAAGTGCAAAGGCTCTGAAGTGGGAGCATTCTCAGCTTTTTAAATTTTTTTTAGTTTATTCATTTTGGAAAGAGAGAGAGAGTGAGCACAAACAGTGGAGTGGCAGAGAGAGAAGGAGAGACACAGAATCTGAAGCAGGCTCCAGGCTCTGAGGTGTCAGCACAGAGCCCGACGCAGGGCTCAAACCCATAACTGTGAGATCATGACGTGAGCTGAAGTCAGAGGCTTAACCTACTGAGCCACCCAGGCACCCCTGTTAGCTTTTTAGAGGAACACCAAGGACATCAGCATGGCAAGGCCAGAATGAGTGGAGGAGTAGAAGGCAAAGATGATCTAGAATTTGTAGGGCTTGAATCTGCAGGGAAGGATCCCCCTTAGGAAAAAAAACCTAAAAATACGCATACAAAATTAGGTGCAAGGCCTTGAAATGGTCTTGCAAGTAAGCAGCCCTGGAGCTTAAGCTCATTAGCTTTGCAGGGAAACAGCTTCTGGTAGAGGAAGCTGGGGTCATAGAGGCAGAGCCGCATCAGAGAGTATCCCGCAGGCCATTGCGAGGACTCAGAATTTCATTTTAAGGGTGGCGGAGAGCCATTTCTTTTGAGCAGGGATTTAAAGTTATCTGATTTATGTTTTATAAGCATCCCTCTGGCACTATATAAAGGCATCCTACTGGATGCCAACAGTAGGCTCAGGCCTCAGGGAGACCAATGAAGAGGCCATTGTAGTAATTCTGGTGTGAGACCATAGTGGACCAAAGTGGTAGCAGGAGTTAGTAAGTGTTTGAATTTGAGATATAGTTTTTAAAGTTTATGTATTATGTATTTTGAGAGGGGGGAAACCAGTGGGGGAGGGGCAGAGAGAGAGGAAGAGAGAGAGGAAGAGAGAGAGAGGGAGAGAGAGACAGAGAGAGAGAGAGAGAGAGAGAGAGAGAATCCCAAGCAGACTCCATGCTTCCAGTGCAAAGCCCAACACGGGCTCACACCCACAAATTGTGAGATCATGACCCGAGGCAAAGAGTCAAACACTTAACTGACTGAGCCACCCAGGTGTCCCTGAGATATATTTTAAAAGTAGACCCAGGCTGGCTCAGTTGGAAGAGTATGCTACTCTTGATCTCAGGGTTGTAGGTTTGAGCCCCATGTTGGTGTAGAGATTGCTTAAAAATAAAATCTTAAAAAAATAAAAATAAAGTAGACCCAAAAAGTTTTGCCTGAGTATTTGATGTTGGATAAGAGAAGAACAGTTAGGGCGCCTGGGTGGCTCAGTCGGTTAAGCGTCTGACTTCAGCTCAGGTCACGATCTTGCGGTCGGTGAGTTCAAGCCCCGCGTCGGGCTCTGGGCTGATGGCTCAGAGCCTGGAGCCTGCTTCCGATTCTGTGTCTCCCTCTCTCTCTGCCCCTCCCCCGTTCATGCTCTGTCTCTCTCTGTCTCAAAAATAAATAAATGTTAAAAAAAATTTAAATAAAGATAATTCAATTTTTTTACTTGAGCATGTAGTTGAATGGAGACGTCTGTAATATAGAGAAGAATAAATGGAGAAAATAGAGGTACTTAGCAAAGGCAGGGTGCATAAGTGGGTTAACAAGGGACTGGAACAGGGTCTGAAAAGATGGAACCTTAAACAGTCACCTATAGCCACTGGGCAGGGCCTAAACTTCAAGGTCAGCCTTTGGAGAACATTTCCCTCTGGACATGAAAGTCCACGGAATCATCTGGTGATTGCATTTCCTAGACTTCTCCCAGGGCTTTAGCATGGGTCACTCAGAGGGCAGCCCTAGCCCCATGTGTGTGTATTACTCCAACTTAACATGGTGACTGGAACAGAGTGTGCCAAATATACAAACTTTCTGGATTATGGCATGCATGAATGAACGATTTGATTAATAAAAAATGAATCATTTGCACGCACACATGGCTTTTCAAGCCCTCACTAGAATCCAATAAAGATATGTTGAAACATAGTGTCAAATGAAAGCATGAAACAGGACTTTTTTTAATGGTTAAAAAAAAACAACTCTGATTTTCATAGATTAGAAGTTTTCTTTAAGCATAAACAGGGGTGCCTGGGTGGCTCAGTCAGTTAAGCGTCCGACTTTGGCTCAGGTCATGATCTCACAGTCCGTGAGTATGAGCCCCGCGTCGGGCTCTGTGCTGACAGCTCAGAGCCTGGAACCTGCTTTAGATTCTGGGTCTCCCTCTCTCTTTGCCCCTCCCTGCTCATGCTCTGTCTCTCTCTGTCTCAAAAATAAATGAAAACATTAAAAAAAAAAAAAAAGAATAAATAATCACGGGCACCTGGGTGGCTTAGTTGGGCATCTGACTCTTGGTTCTGGCTCTGGTCATGATCTTGTGGTTTCAGGAGTTCGAGCCCTGTGTTGGGCTCTGTGCTGGCAGTGCAGAACTGCTTGGGATTCTCTCTCTCCTCTCTGTCTTTCTCTGCCCATCCCCCGCTTGTGCACACTCTCTCTCTCTCTGAAAAAAAAATAAAACTTCATGGGGCGCCTGGGTGGCGCAGTCGGTTAAGCGTC